TGTGTGTGTGTGTGTTGGTCTATTAACATATTCCTTGAACACATTATTCATCCTTCATGCATAACGGGCATAAGATTTCAACCCAAACAGAGGAAAACAACAGCCAAGAACAATTTTTCAATCAAGTCATAAATACTCTTGCGCCACTGCAGCTATGACATTTGCACTTTTTCTTGTGGCAGAGAAAAGACAAAGCAAACCACATTTAAACCCAAAGCCTTATCATCTGTGGCATATCCATGATTATTGTGCTTATTAACATTGCAGACTTAGTTATAAATCATTTTGCCCTGGTGCAGTTCTCTCCTAACAGGAGTGTGTTAACAGCCAGAGCCTCAGTGTGAAAGATAAACTATCAAAGGCCTGAGAAGTTCACTGCATCGCCGTCTTGAAATCTACGTTTTCATAACCTTAACGGCCCATTTGAGTCCTGGAGTGCTTCTGTAATGCATTTGACGACTACAGTCTTGTGAAGTTTGTGTATAGTCATTCTCTCACCTGCTGCAGCTTAACTCCAATGAAACGTAGCATCTCCCTGCAAACGCTGAATTCTTCTTTGACACCACGCATCACGGTTGGCCACACATTTTTCTTGCTGGGTTGCCATATCCTCTGATTAACAACCACCTCCCAGACCTCCTCTGAGATGCGTCCTGACGGCAGCGTCTTGACAATCGCTCTGGTTCCCGTACACACCGACTTGGTCACCTTATGGAGAGAAGAAAAGTGTTTCAGCACTAGCGAGGGTGATAAAAGCAAACTAATTTATATAAAAGAAATAAACACATTCAAGATACCAACAGAAAAGGAATCTTGCATGGAAATACCTTTTGATTATTCTTGAAGAAGCGTCTGACCAGGACAGTGGAACGCTCTTTACGGTTCCTGATAAAGTCTGCGTTATCCGAGAGACCCTCTCCATCTCCTTCGTCACTGCTGCTGCCCCCGCTGCAGTTCCTGGTCGCAGCTGAGGGCGACCTCCTGTCGTTCCTCAGGGTTGTCCTCATGGTTTCCAAAGATGCTCTTCTCGGAAATAGTTTTTCCAGGGAGCATTTCTTAACCCTGGGCCTTCTGTTGAGCCTCTCTAAACTGGAGTAGCTGTCTTTGACACGGTGCTGGCGAATTTGTCCATTCTGGTGATGCTGGCGGTGTTTGGGAAAGGGGGAGCCAGAGGGAGACGACAGCAGAGAGCCCGGCTCACTCGATGGACTGCACTGAGATGAGAGGCAGGGTGATGTCTAGAAGCAGAAAACATGGTTAATGGCGTTTCTGTACAGCTGAACTAGCAGTGCCTCGAATACACAGTGTGGCGGCTAAATGTGTACAGATTGCAGATGTCATGGACGAGCGACGTCCTTCTTTATTACCTTGTGGAAAGCCAGCATTGACACAGGAAGGCTGCTGCGACGGATGTGTCTCCGGTTGGGCTGAGGGAGGCTCGGACTGTGAGCGGGGCTGGAGCCGGGGCTCGAACTGGATCTGGGACTGTGGCAGCAGTAGATGTTTGGACTCATGTTAAGGCTAGTCAGGGTGCAGGAGCATTGGTTGCTGCCAGTTCTGTTTCTGCCTGCATCCACGCCCTCTCCAGGGGTGTCCAGCTGGCACTGAGATCCCTCTGAACTTTTCCCAGGTATCTGAGTAACAGCGTGAGATATTCCTACAATTTTCTTGCCAGCCGACGGCTCTGGATAACATTTCTCTTCGCTACTCAAGAGTTTGGAGCTGTAATCCAAACACTCGTATTCCTCGTCCAAAATTGTCCCTTTCCCACTGTCACGCGACAGCTTCCTATAAAAGAGCAGGGACGGGCTGCTCCGCTGTTTTGACGACCACAATTGGTCAGAGTACCGCCATACTTCCTGGCTGTCGCTTGCGTGTCTGGCTTCTCTGCTGGTTCTGCTCCCGGTGGATGGAGGTGAAGCACGCTGAGCCAGGACGACGGCCCCGACCGGAGACTGATTTTCTTCAGTAGCCATCGCGTTTCCCTGGAGCGGCCTGCTTTGTCCTTTGTTAAAGCTGCAGCTCTGAAAAATAAGCAACACGTTGCTGTTGATGCCAGTTAAGCAGGAGAAATCAAACGGCATTTAGAAGTCCTTTTAATCAACTAAAATTGGGAACATTAGTCCCAATCTGTGATGCAGATTCCTTAATTCCTTGTATGTGAGAAACGACATCTTCTATCTCAATTAGTGGCTCCATAGAGCAGCAAGAGGAAATGGAATTTGCAGAGGAAATTCAATTTGCTGACTTCAAAACCCATAGATTGTGTAAGATGACCACATTGTCATGTTTATAACTCAGATGGTCTCGATGACTAATGACAGTGAGTTTCCCCTGAATGGAGCTCGGGGAGGTTCAAGCACATTTCTCTGCTGCAGCTTCACCTTTCGATTGATTGACTCACACACTACCATCATCGGTGTACTTTCTGTATTTTAGTTGAGTTCAAACTACTCACTTATTATAATGAGAGAGATCCACTTCAGGTCATGTTACACAACAGTCTCAGGTCCTGCCATCATGGTCAGAGGCCCGTGGTCGGGCATCCAGCTTCCAGTGACCTCTTGAGTGACTAAGACAACATGTCCATACAGAGTGCGCTCTGTGTGTGTGTGTGTTGTCGAGACAGAAGCTTGTGCAGCTGTACAAACCGCCAGATAGAGAACCCACGGACGTGACCCTGGAGGAAAGAGGAATTTCCTTGATAGTACGGTTCACGGTCACAGCTTACAAGGCGTGTGCGCCTGTGTGTGCGCTAACTCTGATTGGTCCGGACATGCATCTGGGGTATAGTTATCCACTTGCAGGCCCTGAGAGAGAAGAAACAAGAGAGGAAAACAGAGAGAACACAGACACACCAGTTATTATCTATTGACCTGGTTTTCACAACTAATTTCCACAATTCCCAAGCATATTCAAAGAGTATTGTGTGAGAGATATGGTAAAAAAGAAACTGAAACACACATGAGAAACACATTTTACTAACTTTCAAAGATTCAAGATTTCTCTTCGGTCCTTGTGTGCTCTCTTCATTCGCCACATCAGCTTTCTTATCTAGAACTATTCAACTAAATCAACGCACAGAGCGGGAGCCATTGTGACCGACCCAAGTGAAACAACAAATACTGAATTTCAGTGGGAAGGGAATAATGCGGGACGGAACAACTCATTTTACACCCATAAAGAAATACCAACTTTCTGGGGCAATAAGAATACAACTATAAACAGTACTATTATCTCCATTTCCTGAGATGATGTATGAGGAATAGTACATGTTATGGGGTTGTTATAATTGAAAAAGGTATAATATGGAACAATTTCCAATGTATAGGCCGATACAAAAACAATCCCTCTCAATCATCATGACTAGAAGTGTGTGGCGGTGTCTGTATCTGCCCTCTGCCTGTATTTGCTCTTTTCTTATTATTTTGCTGTGTTCTGGCCCGTTCTCATTCCCAAGAGAAACATTGCGGCTTTGTCCCGCCTTTTCCCGCAACGAGGCTCACAGACTGCACAGGCAGGCCACAGCAGGATGAAGCGTGCCTCGGGGCTATATTCATCCAAAACTGGGCACCTTCCATCATCAGTCAATTTATTCTTCCGATTCACAAATTTGTTCTCACAGTCGTCCCTCTCTTCATTCCCCACTAGCTCCCTCAGCCAACGCTGCGCTCCCTTTTTCTAAAAATTGGATCCCGTATTTAGAGATCCTACAGTTATCTAAAATCATCACAAACATTTTGTAGATAATTAGACTGTGCTGGATTGATGCAATGCAACCAGTATCTTTAAATGACAGTTTCAACACCAGCTCTCCATGATGTGATGTCAATGTAAAATAACTTCAGAATAGGGGAACCCTGGTAGTTTAGGGGTTCAAGTGCTAACCATAAACTTAAGTGTCCCAGACTTACATCTGACCTGGAACTTTTTGTTGCATATCATTCCAAACTAACATCAAAGAACTAGCGGTGATGAAGGCTGACTGTTGCGTCGCCTCATGTCGCCTGCGTCTTGGCCAAAAAGTTGCACCCGAACACACCACAAAGACTACAGCCAACTAACGCGCACATTCTGCGCTTGCATGAGAAGGGAAAAAAGTCCCCATGACAGCAGGTATTACATTTCTCTTCTCGTGCACTGATTGGCTAAAGCTGAACAGCCAATCAGAGTGATTGCTCTCACAAACGGACTCCGCCACCGACTCTGAATCAGCCAAAAAGCCACCGAAAAAGGGCAGATTATTGTCAACAGTGCTGGACACACCGCAAAAACTAAGGCAACGGATGCTCACCGATGGCCTGTCAGGGCCTTTATTAAATACCTCAATATCTAACAATCCAAAATATAGAACAATCCAGCACACTGGTCGACTAGTTATGCACCCAGCTAGCATTAAATCCATTCATAACAGACACACTCAGCCACAACATGCACGCATACTAATCGTGCGGTTCTGGTATCGTCAATGGCGGCCAGTGATGTATGAATCCAAAAGACTAGTGCCCGAAACCTCATAATTAGAGCGACCTCAGCCCTTAATACCCCGCCCAAATGCGTGGGTCAGAGTAGGAATGTGGGACCGACCCAAAAAGGGAGGAGCCAGCTACACTTTTAGTACATGTGTGTGGGAGAGGAAGGAAAATACAAATAGGGAGGAAAGGGCTCAACTCATTGATCCTTGGTAAATCAAGCAGTCAAGGCATTCTCAGCCAAAAGTAGTCAGCGTGCCGTTTTGTATTATCATGTGCAACACACTGAACATGTCTGAGGAGATCAGACCCCTGATGGAACAGAAGCGGAGTGTGAATGGTAGTAAAAGAACCGAGGATGACAGATACAAGCTGAACTCCAAGGTTTTTCAGTTTCTGACCGCACCCAGGAGGGAAGAAGACCCAGGTGGACTCCACTTTTGAAAAAAGAAAAGAAAGGAAATTGCGAAAATGTATATTGACAAGGCACAATCCTTTTAGGAGAATGTTCTTTGGACAGATGAGTCAAAACTGGAGGTTTTTTGGCAAGTCACAGCGCTATGTGCACAGACGTATAAAATAAAGCTTTCAAAGAAAAGAACACCATTCCTACAGTGAAACTTGGAGGAGGCTTGGTTATGTTTCGGGGGCCGCTTTGCTGCGCCTGGCACAGGGTGCCTTTGAATCCGTGCAGGGCACGAGGCCCAGCGTCAGAAAGCTCTGTCCCAGTCGCAAGACATGGGTCCTGCAAAAAGATAACAACCCAAAATACACAGCTAAAGGAACCTAAGAGTGGATGTGAACAAAACAGTGGACTATTCTAGTCCTGATCTGAATCCTGTCAAACATCTATGTAAAGAGCTGACATTTGCATCCATCAAAACTGATACAGCTGGAACAGTTTTTTACCGGTTCACTTTTGTCAGTTTCAAGTTATTTTATTTTCCGTCGAGGGGAACCAACGAATTTGAGCACGTCTGTATCATCACAGTGTCTATGTTGGATGTCTGCATCCTCTTTTCAAGGCTCTGTGCTACATCCACACAGACAGAAAGGGATGAAACAGACAAGTGCTTCATTCATGAGCTCGCAGTGACATCTCTCCTTCATATAGGTCTTCCTCTAGCTTGCTGCTAAGCTGTAGCCTTTTGAAGACAATGATGGGACGTTTTGAGATGCCACTGCTAGATTAATGCTCGTTTTTTTTTCCACTGCAGAACATTGTTCCACAGATCTTCAAGGGCATTTTGAGTCAACTGAATCCAGCGCTACACTACAGGACCTGAACTGATAACTAGGTATCATTATTGTTATACTGGAGGGAGTTGCAGAGAGCGTTTTAAAAGTGTTAGCCACTCCTGCAATAATGAATAAGAGACACGCCAAGATTCAGAATTTCCCAGAAGCCAATAAACATCTAGTATTAACAGAATTTTGGAGGCCAGAGAAGGTCTTTACATGAAGTTTTATTCAAAATGGGCTTTAATAATCAACTAAATATATACAAATTACCTCATTGTGCATGGAAAACATGCAACACTTCTAAAAGTAGGTTGCTAATTCTTTCACCAGATCCTGATTTCCCATTGAAAATGTAAAAATTTAAATTAATATCACCCATCACAATTTACACAACAGCACCGCAAAGTAAGGCTCGTGGAATTGCTTCTACCTTTAATAACCTGATGATCTGTCTTACATGGCAATAAAAAATAATTCATTGTCCCTTCATGGTATTAATAATGTTTTTCTTATTTAAGGAAATACAATTAATATCACAACATAACCCAAACATAAAAAAAAAACAAAGTATACCAGCCCAAATAATTTGGCTAACTACAATCTTCAAGGTTAGTGTTGGATTTCAACTGCACAATATAAGCTGACCTCTGACTGAAACTGTGGGAGCAGCGTGCCTGGAGCTACACTGCTGATGAAAAGGACACACCTAAGTGTTCTCACAACACCTCAGACAAAACAGGGACATTTTAACCTCCATTGTTGAACGATTGAGGGACAAATCTACACTTTGGCTGAGCTAAACAACATCAATGAGGTTTTCAGAAGGCTTTATCAGCAAGTTATAAGCAATCATGTCATTTTTTTGAGCACTCTGATCTTCATTAGCGTAACTGCCCACCCCGACCCATGACACGAAGAATCTCACCTGCACGTGTCGCAGTCAAACAGGACCAACCGGATATAGCAAAAGTTGGCAAAGCATATGTTTAGCCACTACACTTGTTGTCATTCCTGCCAGATATGAAACACTAACCTTTTGGCTTCAAATCATAATTTCTTTCAACCACTGTTCTCTTATATTTTAAATAAGAATATATATAACTAATACAATAATAATACATATTTGTGTGTACCTGTGTGTAAATGCATATTCTCCCAATTGCCTGGAAGTAGTTATAAAAGAGAGATTAGAAACCGTGGCACAGATAAGTCAGCACTACTACAAATGGGGAGGAGAAACGAGAAACCAAAGCAGCTAAACTAAATGTGCCGACAAGATGCAATTAAAAAAAAACATGGGAAACAACTGTGTTCGACTTGGGGAACCATCTGCGCTCAACATCCACTGCTTCAGGTCATGTTGTGGCTGCACAGATGTTGGGTGTCACATTAAGGCTGATGTCACTTGAGGACACACGCTGACACACTCCACATGTTGAGGGGTGAACCTGTCCAATTACGGGTCAGGAGGGCGAGACGAACATAACAATTTTACAACTCCAGGCAAGACGTTGCATACTGTAGCTTTAAATCCTGAAGCCATGTGCCGAGGGGCATGATAGACAGCTGTGCTTGCCATCAAAATAATTCAGCAACACTCTGAAATTAGCAACAGGAAAAGCTTTTCCACACTGTGGTTACTTGAAATAGAAGCATGTGGACTTAAAGTAAGGTTGAGTTTGATTTTAGATGTGTTACAGCTGTTTACTTAGTCTGTATGATCCTAACTGTATCTCATTTATACTGTATATATATATATATTACAGATATGACAAATTAGATGGCAAAAAGAAAGACAACAAAGGCACCCCCACCATAAGAAACGTGCTGTGTGATTATTTCAAAAGGTGAAATTGACAAACACACACCAGAGAGTAATTAAAAAGAATGATTCCATCCCTGCAGTTAGTTCAAAACAGCCGCGCACACATGCTCAACACAGATCAAAGTATTGTTATCAGCTGAACTTTGACCCTGGCCGGGAAAGCAATTGGCTCTCTCAGGCTAAATCTCAGCCTTGGGCCAAAATTGCAGACACCCACCCCCCCCCCCCCCCCCCCCCCACACACACACACACACACACAGGAAACCAGGGC